TTTATAAGAGGACACATTTACAAAGAATAAAAGGAAAAGGAAAAATCCAAGAGGCTGATGGAAGCAACTCCAGGCCTCTAGGGGGCTAGCCAACTGACTCAAAGGCAATTTGTTTCTCATACTTTCCCAAGACTGAGATATTTTTTGTAACTGCTCCACATTCTCTCGATATTCCATCATACCACTGGTTTAGACTGCTTTAACAGGACAGGACAAATTCATGGAGGAGATTGGCATGGCTAGTAATGGGCATACCAAGGTTTGCTCATGTAACATCATTAGTATAGGAGTTCCATTGGCTGCCGATTGGCTTCTGGGTGAAATTCAAGGTGCTGGTTCCCTACATAGCTCAGGTCCAGGCTATCTCCATGACTGCCTTCTCTAAGTGGAACCTGTTACTCAAGACTTGCTGAGAGTCCCACTACTGAGGGGATGCCACATTCAGGGACTCCAGGCTCAAGCCTTCTCAGTGAATTTCCTTCGGAGCAGTTTACTCTCAGATATACAGACTATCCCCTTCTTACATTTTCAAAACATTGTAAAAACCTTTTAGGAAAAAAAAACATTTGAGGATGAATAAGATCATGCTACCCCTGAGTAGTATTACATTGGATTGATGAATTATAATTGCATGAATTGGTTGTATTAAATCTTATTATATTACCACTGTTTCTGGAAATATATAAGCTGTAGGAATAAACAAACAAATCCTTCTGAAAGATTCCAAACATAGAATTTTCCTTTTAAAAAACCCCAGCATGGTGAGTTAATATTTTCACTAAACAAGCTACCATGACTCTATGATTCAAGACTGGTTCCATCTTATCCAACAAAAATGTGTTCCACTAGGAGATTGTGAAGAGCAGGATGAAGAGACAGGACTGAAGCTTGAGACTGACAGAAATATGGTTAAGGGAAGCATATTTACTTTCAGAAGACTAGATGAATTGCTTCCTCAAAGGAACGAGGGAACTACAAATACAATACAATACAAATACTTTAATGACCAAGTATAAAATATATACAAGGAATCTGTCTTCGGTGACGAACAGCAAGATCAACGG